GGTGAAGCTGACACGCTCGTCGTTACAACTAGATGCCAGATGTCTTTCTTGAAGTTGCTTACGTGCGTTGTTAACATAAGCTGTAACGTCGTCTGATATGAAGATGTTAGAGCCCTTGAACTTATTATTCTTGAGTGTTCTGGATACCTTTTTCAAGATGAATTGCCGATCAGAGTAATGGAGTAGTCGGCAGTGGATGGGACTGGGAACGGGGTGTTGCAGACTGATTACTGCCGTCTGCAGAGCCGGTAGCAAGGTGCCGTGGAGTGGGGGTATGGTGAGCTGTCTCCATCTCCATCATGTTGCCACCCTCCAGCTTCATATGGTTGCAGAAGAAATTCGACAAAAATTGCTCGCAAGTTAAGCTATCTTCAGCCCCCTCTGGAATGCCGTGTAGCACAATGTTGTTCCTTCAGGTTCGATTTTTGGGGGTCATCAATGCAATCCTCAAGCTTAGAGATATACCGGTAATTACCGTTCGCACAGTTGTTGATAAGGCCAATACATTCCTGGTGTTGATTGCCAATCGGGTTCAAGCTTGTCTTCAGGTCACTGATTTCCTGATCATGAGTGGAGATGGTGTGACTCACATCAGTAAGCTTGATTTCCAGGTTGGATATCTTGTCCCCCATAGTAGCAAGGGTCCCTAGGATCTTGTCATGTTTACTGCTGACTTGGTTGATTTGCGTCACTACAAGCACATCGATGACTGCCATCTTGATCGTCACTCGGGGTCGGCGATGAAGAGCGAGGATCTTTACTCTTGTTTTCTCAACAATCTTGTAGATTTTTTTACTGCCGTTGGATCAGATATGATCACGATAGTTTCAATGCAGGGATGAGATTATGTAACTTGTGTTCCCTTGAGTATAAATGCCATCTTAATAATTTTTCTCGAGGATAGATCTAAACCCCTGTCTGTTAGCTACCTGCCATTATGTCATTATGTTAAGGTTCAACTTGGGTTTTAAACTGATGGTTTTTTGTGCTAAAACGAGAGTCTGTTAGTACTGAAATCACGCACTACCGGTATGATACCGGTACATGTTATTATTTTTATTGCTCACAGCTTCAAAACAGGACAGACTTTTAGTTTTGTATTACATATTTTGTCGAGTTTTGGCATACTTTTGATTTTAACTTTCATTGAGATTATTTTGTAATAACTGATTTTCATTTGAGAACCTCAGCTGTAGAAAGTTAATGTGAATAAAAATACATGAATTATAACTTGATTGGATAGAACTCAAACAAATGACATCGTCATAACTAGTGCACCGTTGGATTTGGACATTTCAGAGTCATCGTGAAAATTGTAATAATGTGCAGGATGGTACATGTACATGTATGACAAGAGAATATGATAAGCATGTGTACGAGGTACCCTGTAGAATGACTGGTTCCTGCACTGGTTAAACAGCAGGGCGCCCTCTGTTGGCAACAAAGACTGAGTACATGTACATGTAATTTTTGAAACCTTTCCAGTGCACACTTTGGTACATGTACATGGTACATGTACTTGTACTCCCAGGCTACAGTACTGTATTTGCACTGTACAGGATCATGAGGATGTTACATGTTCACATGTACAGTACCATATCCCAACTGAACTGCTGTGAACAACATGAATGGTGCCAAGTCTGCCAAGCTTTTTCAATCTTCTTCCCAAACACATGTACATGTGCTTTGCTTTTGAATGTGCATGTTTTGAAATGATTTTTCTGTGTACATGTAAGTTTTGCTTTGCAATTCTGAGACTGCTGAGGGATGATACAGAATCTTGGTGTACGTATTTCATCAGAAACTGTGAACATGTGATATTGGTACCGGTACATGTACGTGTAGTTTCCCCCCAAACCCAGTTTTACCTTGCTGCAAAACTGGTTATATGAAGGGAATCTGCAAAGTCATTTCAGGGTGAAAGTGCCTTAGATCTGTGACTGTCACTTTGCATTAAAAATAGGTGAATTTGTGGCTGGAAAAATCTCATTACTCGGTCATCAAGTCCAAATTGAAATGGATTGTTTGTGACTGCACTTGTCGACACCGCCTCCCCTTCAGTTCAGTGATGACTGTTCTAGTTCACTGAGCAAGGGCGGAAGGTGGGCTGCAATGTGGTCACAGCGTTTGCTGCCCAACAAAATAGGTTAATACCTTTGGCAATGAACCACATTTTCCCACAAGTTCATGCCGATTTTAAAGGGAATGTACCCGTGTCTGGATTCCATCTTTAGTAATGTGATTTCCCTTGGCATTGTTCAGTACTTCCTCTAGTTGTTTTTTAGACTAATAAGAGTTCTTTCCTGTTTGTTTCTTTTGTAGAAGAGATGCACCTGTATGTACATGTATTTTGCTGTGAAAAACAAAAGTCTACCTCTTGTCAATATGTGATGTTTGTGTATTTTTGTGTGGGTTTATATTGTTTCCAGTTAACATATTGGAGAACACTGAGATACAATTTTTTTTTAATTGGAATAGTTGGGACTGTATTTGGAATTGGACTGCAACAAAAAAAAACTGAATCATCAGTAATACATGTGAACCAGTTTCATGCCAGGTGGTCATTGATTCTTTGTAATAAAAGCTGATGTTAACCTGTGAGGTCCATACATTAACCCTAACCATGGTAATGCCCAATGATATCCAACAGGGGATCACATTCTGTAGGATTTTGTTGACGTGAGTAATGAACAAAATGCCTTTTGTGTTACATGTAGCTGTCAGATTCTGGTTGGGTTTAGCAGGGTACCCTTAGGAAACTTGAAGGTGTTTTGGGTCAAAGAGACATGTACATGTAACTGATTTCTGTTTCCTTACTGCTTAAAAGCTAAAAGTAGCGAGGTATTTTGCTTTCCCCTTTCGCTGTTGTCACGGTTGCATAAAGCCCCATAGATTGTGGCCTTCGTCTCCAGCAAGCAACATCTACACACAACCGGAGCCTGAAATTACAGTCGGACATCACCCATTTCCTGATCACTTTTGGCATTTGTCTGACCAAAAGCAGATGTGGTTGGACAACATGTCAGACAGAAGTGTCAAGGTTAAAGCCCTTGAAGCAAAATCCTGTTGGTGGTTTACCCTGGCTTTTGTGCTTGAATAAATTGTGAGTTGATCTTTTCCTCCATGGTTGGTCAGATGACCTTAGTACCAATATAAATTCAATCTAAAAAAGCAAATTTATCATGCTACTACATATATGTTGTCTGACCACTTTTTGGGCACAGTTTCACACACTGCACAGTTACCCTTCACAAGCCTTTATTGTGGGGTAAAATAGCGCTCTCTGTAGTTTACGCATGCAGCAGATGTTAGTGTGTCAGTAATGTCCGTAGAGTGCCAAGTCCGATTTCAGAATGAAGTTCAATATACAGATATCTAGAATTTGTGATTGTCCAGTCTCCCTGACCACAGCAGTGCCCCGGAAGAGGAAGTGTTTGTCATTGCTGGCGGTCAGTCTAGCTACCTCCCAGCATGGTTGACCATCAGGTTGACCATCAGTCTGACCGATAACCTGTTTGAACTTTGTGTACAGTATGGTATATTTTCATTTACTAACAGTGAATAGTGCAATTCTTGCTCACCTTGAATGCTGCACACGTGCCTGAATCTCAAACGTCCAAGCTGAATCACATCAAAATTGTTGAAATTGAATGAAATTTGAGAGCACACAAAAATTTGTAGCATGTGAAACAAAGTCCTCTTGAATATAACAGGCATCGCTATATTCCCAGGTACATGTAGGTTCACTGAACTTTGCTCATAATAATAGCAAAAGTACATGTATACAAAATATGTACCTTCCTTTATGTAATTTAGACTGTAGTTATTCATTGTAAGGAGAAGTTTCCAACATACATGCACTTTAAAAAAAGATGAACTCTAACAATGCTGCAGTTTGTACCAGGTTATATTTGTCAAACAAGGGGTTCTTGTGGGGGATGTATGTGCCCATACATACAAACTTTTTTTTTGTACCCATGACTCTTGTAACCACAGGGGTGAGATTTCTCAGCTTTTTAGTTGATTTCACCTTTTTTTTTTTTTTTTGGATTTCAGCTTTTTTCCCTCACTGGCCGTGTACATGTACAAAAGTATAGGGGATTTCCACAGTTCTGCTTTTGAATGCCTTTTTTTCAGCTGTTTTCAGCTGTTGTCATTATCATTGGTCAATCTCACCCCTGGAACCAGCTACCTGTAATTGAATTCAGACACTGAAATGTAAAACTGTAACACCTGCTACATGTGCATGTACATCATTAAAGCATTCCACAATAATTCCTGTAAACAAAGCTATCAATTTCTTCTGCTCATACATCCTTGTAGATATACACTAAAAGACATCTACAAAGTACGTACATGTACATGTACATGTAAAGGCTTCAGGAGCAACATCAGTTCCCCTTACACGCTGTACATACTGCAAATGTACATGTATGTGTACATGACATACGCACATGTACATGTTATACCGCACATGTACATGTACATGCACTTGCTAATAGTACATGTACGCTCTAGGCAAACCTTGCAGGTTTCAAACTTTCAATGAGTAAGGATATTTTCTCTTTGATTGACATAAATGGGTCACATTTATTTTACACATGGATGTAATTGCAACTAAGTTACAGCTTAGGTGAACATACAATGTATGTTCCTGTTTGTGGAGGTCACCGCACAACAATTTCCGTCCTTCCTATAGCTCTTGTGGCTTCCTCCTGCTTATTGAATCTTTCTCCTAGGAAGCTTTGAAGAGAAAGAAAAATCTTGTTTGTGGAACACCAAAACCGATAATTTTTTTCTTTTGATTTTTTTTTAAACGATAGAGGAATTGGTTACCAAAGATTGAATTTCATGTGGGTGTAGGAATAAAGTTGCATACAGAACCTCAACATACAACCTTGCGAAAAGGGGTCAGTTTTCTCCGGTGCATGGTGTTTTTGGTCCAGCAACTACAGTAGCAACACACCAACATTTTTTCCAATACTGTACAAGCTCGTATACTGAGGCAGTACATGGAGAGTAGTTTCCCAAATGCAATATTTGTAATTGGTAGGATAACAGTCGTGGAAACAGGAAGGGACGCCAATTGGTCAAGATACTTGTGACGTCACAGGAAGGAGCTTCATTAGTCACACACAACATAGTAACCACAGCCTTTTGTTTAGCATGTGATGGAATATAAAGGGTGGGCGTTGTTCAGGGAATCTAGACAACGTTTGTGTACTAGTGGATATTGTGGTGTCTATGAGTTGCAAGGCGAGACTGGACTTAGGCATGACTTCCCCCCACCCCCCCTTTGTGGAAATTTGCATGGGTGTTTCTGCACAGCTTTTGAGTGTTATCAGCTAATTGTTGGATGTGTCATTTCTGATGACCTCAAGACTTAATCATGGCGGTCACAAGTTTATTCAGCGTGGCTACAGGCCAGCAGCAAGCTCCAGAGACTTGGCAGTGGTGTTACATGTACCAGCACATTGTACCCTTTACTTGTATTTAACTACAGCATATTTACATGTACATGTACACAGTTGTGCACATAGAGTGACTCCAGTGGAAGCCTATTTGTAGCATTAATCCGGCTCGTCATTGAGTTGTGAGCCAGTGCATTGTAACTTGCTGGTGTGTTGATAATACAGTCAAGGCCTCTTGGCCATTCAGAGTGGGGTGGCCGGGTTAGCTCACTCAGTATTCGCTGTGCTCAGCTTGGGTCGTGGTGCAGTGGATAATACTCCACAATATCCAGGCAGGTATCCCACCAGCTAAGGCAAATCAGTCGTGCAGAACAGTCTTGTTGTGCTGTTTGGAAGAACAAACACCATTCAGTTTTCCCACGATTTCGGGCATTGCCTGCGTACATGTAAAACGGTTGGCTTCCTACTACAAACCTAAGTGTACCTCCTGTTTTCCAGCAATTCATGTGGTTTGTGTCAACAAGCCATGTATTTGTCAGACAAATAGCTTCCGATGCTCACTTGGAAAACTTGGAATTCTCCCTCTTGAGAAACAACAGCCAGCTCGGCAGGATCTACTGGCGAATCAACAGCCATATCAGCAGGGAGAGAGGGACATTCAGAATATTATGCACCTTTTAATAATGGTGCAGTTGTGAAACTTGTGACAGTCATGTACATTCAGGGGACCAGGCAATCCGTGACCATGGGAGAAGTTGAGGAGCCAATGCAGGACGATTACGAGTACATGAAGTTTGTGGGTGTACCAGTAGGAGAGAGCTTGGAGGAGAACAAAAAGGAGAAGGCTGGTTTTGAGGATGAACCTGATTATGTTCCTATGAATGGTGCAGTTGACGGGGTAAGGAGAATCGCCAGTGATTGATGGGAGGAAAGAGGGATTGTGGACCTGCTTCAAGATCACGCACAGGCATCCCTCTGTTCCTCTTGGAAGTGAATGACGAAAGACGTATTCTCCTTATTTAGTACATGTAGTTAGCACTTACTTGTGAATGACTGCACCGACAGACTTACATGTACCTTGGATTAACCGATTTCCTCATTTAATGCACTGCATGTTCGTTGCAGGTTGAAAAAAGAATTTCTTGTGCAGATAAGAAATTTCCTCTGTTTCTCAGATGCATATGAAGTTACATGTGTACAAGTGTGTCATTTCATATGGGTATATGCTGTGCATGTTGTATGCATAGGCATGATGTACTGTACATGTTCATGTACATATACACATCTATTCTGCTACCAGTAGTCCTTGAATCCATGACCGTTCAAAATTACAAAGTGCTAGAACAGAATCTGGTGGACGACGTGTATTCTTTTTCAAGAAAACTTGTGAGCAGCCATTTGAATCAACCATGAAATATCCTTATCCTGTTTGTCGTTACAGCATGTGCTGGCCAGAGCATTGTACGACAACGCTGCCGAGGCTCCTGACGAGCTCTCCTTCCGCAAAGGTGACATTGTAACCGTGCTGGAGCAGAACACCAGCGGACTGGAAGGATGGTGGCTGTGCTGTCTGAACGGTCGGCAAGGCATCGCCCCTGGCAACCGGCTGAAAATACTGGCAGGGATGTACGAGAGCCCTCACAGTCCTCCCCCGTCGCAGACAGCCCAAAAGGTGGGTGCAGTTTGTTTATTGGTTTACAGCTCTTGCAAGCAAAAGTATCAAAAGTGGTCATGCAATGCCGTTATGCAAAGTTTTACTGGTATTTTACCGCATCCTGAGAAAATGCACACCTTTCTGTTTCAACCAACCTTTTTTGAATTGTCACTTTGCTACTTCAAGGGCATTTGGAACTTTGTTTTTAAAGTTCAATCTGAAACTTGGTCAAATCTGCTCCCCGTTTTTACAAGAATACATGGAAGTCATTCATTTCAGTTCATATATGTACATGTATTAAATCTCTCATTTCTGCGTACATGTACACGTGTACATATGTAGTATTTCAGTTAACATTCGGTACATGTTTGTGTGCCCAAACTCCGAGATTCAGCTTAAAGAAAGGTTGAACCACATACTGTGGGTATGTTTCCAACATCCTGCAATGCAATACAATTTTTCATAGCTCACGTCATGCTTGTTTGTACATAATATTTCACTGAAATTACCACAGTTTGTCCCTTCACTCTGCTATATCCATTTTACCGCACAAACAAAAGGAAATAATATCGGATATCTCAGCATCCTGGGAACAAGGCTAAAATTTCCTCTTTTGCGACACTCTGACACGCACATAAAAGTTCATTACCATGACAGCAGATTGGCAGGCCTCTAAAAATTATCTGATTGCAGCGCCCTGCATAATAGGACATGTACATGTGCAGGTACACATGTACGTGTACATGTCAGTTAAAAGTACATGTACCGGTACACCAGAAGGTATTCCTTCCGTTGCCTGTATTCAACTAAATATTACATCACTTTTTCATGCAACTTTCCTTGGAAAATATATCATTCAACAAAACTGTTTCCTGTAGTTCTCATAGTGCATATAAACCTACATGTACATGTAATTGTATATGTTGCAGCCACTGCACATGTACATTTTGGAGCAGTTGGTGTAATTTGTTTTTTCTGTCTTGTTAATATCTTTGACTACCAGTTTGATCATAAAAATTTGTTCTCATGTTGCAAGAAATCCTGATCCTACTTTCAGATTTGAAAAGTACCGGTAACAAAGCAACACAGCATCTTATGACTCTATGGACATGTCATGCAACATCCATGTGTGCCGGCATTGGTGAATCAATTAACTCGAACCCCCCCCCCCACAGGATGCCATAATGACCCAAACGAACTTTTAAGTTCACTGGTAGAATTTATCAATACTGGACAATCATGATCAGACTATTCTGATTGCGAAACAGTCAGGATTTTTCTGTGTCACCGGTATTTCTTAGAAGAGAGAGGTCAAGGTGCCAGCCCTGACCTTAACATTCCACTTGGAGCCAGCTGGCAACGTGTCACTCAGCAAAGGCTGATGTGCAATTCTTATATTGGCTCGGTTTTAATTCTGATCACTGTTGATTGGAATCTGTGATTCTGCGGTGGAGAATTCTTAGTTGGAAAAGGGAGAACTTTTATAGAAAATATGACATTCTTTCCTGTGATCACAGAGGAAAGAAATCAGTAATGAAGGAACAAGGATGTTTGGTTTGTCTTTGTTTTCGGTTTTGGCATTTTCTAAAAATTCCCTAAATGCTCCAAAATCAAACGCCAGTGTCCAATGAAAGTGTATTTATACAAATTTATGTTTGTTTTGATAAAAGAAAGACCAAAAGTTTCCTTTATTTCCCTTTTGCTCTCAATTCACTGAGCACAAATGAAACAGAAACTGACCTTTTCAAAACAATAAGTTGTGAGATATTTACCTTATTTCATAATCTGGAATTGTTACCCAAATATTTTGGTTTCAGTTGACCTAAAAAAAGCACAGTGTTCTTTACTTAAAGCTGGTGAGAGTACATTTACTTGTGCTTATACTGTAACATTCACATGTGGGTTCATCCAAAATAATTGACAGAGTTCTTTTTTTTTTTTGAAGAAGAGAGGGAGGGCTGAACATGTTTTCAAATGATTTAAGATTTAAAGTCAAATTTAACACTTGTCTCTTCAACATGTCTTGGAACCTTCCATTCAACCCCAAGTATCCCATTCCCTTCAAAAACCATGAGGGTTTGCTTGAGAGAAGTTTGAAGGATTGACGAAGATGCATGTACTTGCACAGCCCATCCCTTGTCACCTTTCATGACCCTAATACAACCCCCAAAGATTCTCTTACCGTAAATGACCCTGCCACAACTTCATCATGGCTGTGCATGAAATAAGGCCAAAAAAGTGGTTTGACAAAACATACCATACTGTACTAGCAAGATCAGGGTCACACGAAAACATGTTATGAACTTTTGTTGTGTAAAAAGCACAAAGATGAGGGTAAAAATACCAACAAGAGTCTGCTTTTGGACGTATAACTTAAATGTCCTTCAGACTTTTTTGTCCGACTACTTCTGCTTTTGGTGGAAAAAAAGACATTTACCCGTACATATACCAAAAGGGGTCGGAAAATGGCAGATGTCTGACTAATTCCATACTATGTTGAGGTGCCAAGCTGTACATGTACGTCCTTTTCAGTAATATGATAAGGTTGTATGGGGTGCATGCGGCATGTTTGAGTATAACATACAAACAAGTTTGTGCTTTGAAATCACATTGATGGGGTATTCTAACCTCTAGGGAATCATTTGCAGCCTGCTATTGCCTTGTCAGTCCAACTTTATCGTTTTGTTTTCCTTCTGCAGATAAAGACCCCAATGCGAGTTGGCCAGTCCTACATCTACGATAGTCCCGGTGGCTTTCGGGCTCCAGGAGTCAGTCGACAGGATGACTATGATGTCCCTCCAATCAGAGGCAAGGGTTACAATACCCAAAACCTTGGGTACCAGACGGTGCCGGGGGCCAGCCGCAATGCCACCACCCACCAGACCTCGGTCCAGGAAACATATGATGTGCCACCGAATCTCCAAAGCAGCAAGTCGCCGTCGCCGTCTGAGATGTCGGACGCTGCTTCTGCCCTGCTGCAGAAAAAGTCTGTCAACGAGTTGTATGATTTGCCAAAGATGCAGGAGCAGACACAACAGGAGGTCTATGACACACTGCCTGCCTCCAAGGATCCCAAGTTACCAATGGAGATTTATGACTCACCCCCAGTGAAGGGCAAAATTGTGGACAGTCCACCCAAATCACCAGTGGAGGTGTACGATGTGCCAAGCTCTCTACAGGCAGGGCAGAGTGGTGGTGCTGTCAAGCTACCTGCATCACCAGAGAGATCAATCTCTTCTAATGGTCACCCAGCCCAGAATTCAAACTCTCTTGAGTTATATGACACCCTCCCTGGGCAAAAGTATCCAGCGGATGTGTACGATGTACCACCAGCTCATGAAGTGTCCGCAAAGAGACCATCAATTCAGATTGAAGCTAAGGAACTCTACGATAGTCCATCCAGTGCACCCTCTCAGGGACTGTATGACAGTCCTCCCAAGACCAAAATCAGCGTTCAGCACAGTGCTGACCATTTGTATGATATACCACCACAAGTCACTAGGGATCAGCCCCTCTCGGGAAGGGCAAGCCCAGTGCATCGTGGATCTTTGGATAACATCAACGGTAAGATGAGTTTGCTGTCCATGACTCGCCTCACCCGATCAGCTGAGAATCTAGATGAGATGTCGGGAGGGTGGAACAGTGAACTGGACATAACATCTGCCATGGAGTTGCTCAGTGAGAAGCAACAAGTCCTTGAGACCGCTGTAGCATACCTCATGAGCTACGTCAGCAGCACGTGGCGGCATCAGTCGAATCTGGAGCCACGGATCCATGAGATTAAGTCAGCCTGTAAGCAGCTGAACGTTGCCCTGGAAGAATTCCTGGAATTTGCTGATCGGTGCGTAGCAGGCGCTGCCAGGCACAGTGAAGAACTCTGGCCGGGCAAGCTGTCTAAATCCGCGCAGACCATGCGAGAGTCTCATGCGTCCATGGTGAAATCGCACGCCGCCCTGGACGAAATGAACTGGCAGGTGTCCAAGTTGGTCTACAAGCCCGGCTCCAGTGCTGCCAATGACCTTGATCAGATTGCCCTGTCAGCCAGGAGTGTGTCTGATGACATGAAACGCTTTGTATCTCTTGTCCAGGAAAATGCCACCACTCTCTTCCGCCCATCCTTGAGTCGGAACCTGAGCAATCCTCAGGACCGTCCCTTGCCGATCCCTCCAGCCATGTCTTCCTCCAGCGGGAACAGGTTATCCCCAGACAAGGAGAGCCCTGCCAAAGGTGCCATCCAGTCCAGACCATTACCCCAGGTGCCTCCCGGTGGTGCACCTGCCTCGGCCCAACCTGATGATCCAAACCTTCCTCCAAATAAGGAAGCCATTGCTGATTATGGCTACCTCACTAAAAAGGATCCACTCATTGACAAACAGATCATTGTCACTGACCCGGGTGCTAAGCAACCCTCGGTTCTCCAGCCTAACGACAAACAGATTCTTGCATTTTACGTTAATGACGTGGAATCGCTAGTCAACACCATGACCAGCGCCATCGATCTCTTCTTCACCTGCATTGAAGCCAACCAGCCCCCCAAGGTCTTCGTGGCGCACAGCAAACACATCATCCTGATTGGCCACAAATTGGTCTTCATCGGTGACACGCTGCACCACAACTTACAGCACCCGGAGGTGCGTACGCGCATCATACGCTGCAGCGATGCCCTGTGCGAATGCCTGAACAGTGCTGTCAACACCACTAAGACAGCGGCTCTCCAGTACCCTGCTGTTGGACCATTACAGGAAATGGTCGACAGGATCACAGATGCAGCTAACTCCACACAAGACTTGAAAGCAGCCATCTTACAATGTGCCGCTTTGTAATATAGAGCAGTAAATGTTTAATGTGATTGTAAGGCTCTGCACGGACATTCAATTCCAGTGTAGTTGTGATGTACAAAAGAGAAAGAGAATTAATAACCCTTGACGTGGATCACTTTTATGATTATAAAAATAAATTTTATTCCATTGTTTCTCTCTTACTGAATAGACATTTTGTTTTTTAAATATTGTATTTGTACATGTACAAGAAATACTTCGGATGAATTTTGTACAGAAGAAAGTCACTGTTCAATCATTGTTGTAATGTGTACACAAGGTGACACCTAAGGGAATCACAGATTGTGAAATTTAACATTCTCTCGCTCTCCAGCACTGATCACAAAACAATTGTTTGATTTTATTGTTGAAAACTTACTTGTTGGAGGGTCACATGAACAAACAGAATATCTGTGTTACAAAACATCATAGAGTCAGTCTAAAAGAGTCAAGATTAATAACTTAAATTGGATGCATTGTAGTGTAAATTTAAGGATGCAAATTTGTAATATCCAACCACAAATATGTCACCTTCCCAACATGTACATGTACAGCAGTACGGCGGCTTGCACTTTGGTGATAAAGTTATATTCCCATATTGCTCACTGCTTAGAGGATTTGATCACAGGGTTTTCCAAACATCCTTTTCAAGTATCAGTTAAGTTCCATTCACATTACAGTTGTTTGAAAAGTTGTGAGAAAGGAATTTTTCAAGTTGTGTAATTATGTACATGTAATTATTTACTTTATTAAATGTAAAATAGTTTTTTAATTTGCAATAATCAGTCACTTCAGATTACTTTTGGTTCGGTGGTTTGGTATATTTGTCAATTTTATAGAGAAAAGATTGGTTTATTTTCAGTTCTTTCTCATTCGTATTGAAATGGTGTCACTGTAAATCTACATGTAGCTTGTCAGGGAAATGGAGAAGGAAATGAAATGGATCTGTAATTTTAACAGAGGGAAAACAATTCTAGAGTAGTATTGTTTACCAGCTAGCTTGGTTTCCTTCAGTGAGTTGAACATTGCATAAGGACTTGCACAGAGCTAGTTTGTGAGGGTACCAGACCCAGATAAGGACAGTAATGTAGAGGTTGTGCATAGCAGCCATTTTTCTGGTCAGTGCTTTTGTTCCACAGGGATATTCATGAGTATACCTGTTGTACAATCCCTCGGCGACAAAAGCAGTTACCGGAAAGATGGCGGCCATGCAGAACCTCTATTGTGGGTGTGCACTTGGTGTCTGCATCTGTATACACTGCATTCTTATACTCGTATTGGACTTAAACAGCAAGACAAAAGTAAACTCTTCCAGGGCTTCCAAACACTGTTTACATTTGTGTTGCATGTTCTTCTATTCCACGTCATCTGGGGCAAGAAACTTGAGTTGATTTGATTTGTCTCGTTCTTGCCAGTGAGTCATATTTGAGTCACGTATTGCTGAGAATCAGTCAATGTAGCAGGTTCCTTCAACTTATCTTGCATTTTTTCTTTCCCTAATACTACATGCAACTCGGCATGAAGGTTCATTCATATTCTAGGGAAGGTCTGCTTCTTTTCCAAACTCAATCAACTGGATCGTCATGTTGAAAACATTGGCAGCTGTGAAAAAAGTTGGCTTACATATCCGCACATGAAGTGTACTCAGTATTTTCACAGTAATGATGAGAATCCCACTGTGCCGACAATGCAAAAGATCGGTGTGAAAGTGTGTTTTCATTTCTCATGACCAGGAAAGTTAGTTTGGATTAGTGACTTCAGTTTACAGTCCTTTTTGGCTTAGCGTCTGGCTGTGTTCGATTAAACTCCTATTAGTTAACACAAGCACCTGCCTGAGCATGAGTACTCACCTGAGCATCCACACATGAATGACAAGTGTACGACTCATGGCTAAGCAAGAGCTTACTCTCAACATACCAGGAATAATACTCCTCCATCTTTTGGTTATTTCAAGATGGCAGAAAGGTCAGTGTTAATTATTCACGGGACATGATCAATGCACGTGTCACATTTTCTTGCATTTCTGAGTATTGATAGCAATACACAAATGCATGTATGCAGCAGAAGAAACTTGGACAGAAAAATGTAGAGCACAGATACGACAAGAAATGGCGTGGGAAAGTTGTGTAGATGATTGTGCAGTTCTTTCTGCTTTGTGTCATCAAAACGGGGATCAGTAAATGTAGAATAACGAATGGAAAATTTCTTAATCTGAAATCATTCCTTGGTGTTCAAACGTATATTTTGTGTGGTGTCTAATACACTTCCTGTTCAAAGTTTGCCTCATTTTTTTTTTCTTCAGTTTTGGTTTTTCATTTCCTCCACGGAATATGCCAAGTGTATGGAAATAGTGCAGAGAGAAGTAAACATTTGCAATTATGACAATGCAGGGTGGGTGTTAAAAATAAAGGTAGACATGGCGGTGTCCTTCACAGAAGCCGGAAGTGAGGCTTGTTCATTAGATGTTGAGGTTAGGTTAAGTGTCGGATACTCTAAGTTTGGGGAACATTCAACGACTGGAACAGCCTCTCATTAGCATGAGTCACAAATCTTGTGTCACATTTTATGATCCTCCCGTTTATAATAACTTAACCATGCAAAGAAAAAAGTTTCTTGAATGTTTATCTGTACAAGCAAAAAACATGAAATTGGACAAATTAAATTCAACACCGGGTACTACTTACATGTATTTTACATAAAATGTATTTAAAAATATTGTGAAATAATTGGTTGTGATGTGACTTTTTACAAATTTGACATGTACAGAAAATCAGATTTTGAAGGTGGGTCATTGTATTTGGTAATTTTATTTGTGATACAATTGGTTAAAACCAAAAGATACAATTGGCTAAGTTCAGCGGAGCCTCCCATTGAAGTAATGCGATCACAGACTCTGTTGTTATTTTACTCATTATCGGTTCCCTTCACTTTATTTCAGTTTCCATCTTTACAATTATAAGTTGCACACCACTATTTATTTTGTACAGAATTAACACTGAAGTATACAGATTGTGTCAGTTCCAATAAAGAAACCAAGTAAAATGGAAGGAGTGACTGTGTGCTTGAGTCTTGTACCGATAAGCTCTGATTTGATTGGGGAAAAACAGGAAATGTCACCAAGCATGAACTTGGGCCACTTGGCTTATTATACATGTAAGTGTAAAAACATTCATTTGGCTGTTTATAGTTATGACTTGCATGCATAATGCCGATTGTATTTCTGATCATTTCATTGGTGGACATGACTTCTGTTATCACCTCGCTAGTAGCAAGCAAAATGAGGATGACTCGGCTCATTTATTTTTGCTAGTGCATAGAAACCAGCGACAGGAGAACATTAACTGTAGGGTTCTAGAGGCACCTGGATTTTGGAACATGAAGTCCAAAATTTCTAACCATTTTGAAAAGCAATCCCCAGCGGGTACTTGCATTGATTCTGATGACTTTTAACAATGGAAAAGCTTGGCTGTAGCTGCTTCATTTTCCAGTTGGTTTCAACCCTTCATTCTCTACTTTGTGAAGTGCGACCAAACAGTTGATGGGGGAACTTCACTTACTAAAAAGTACATATAACAATGACTTGGGCAACACTGATCACATCATGTTATTTCGTATGTCATTTGGAACTAAGACGATCATCATCCTTATGGGTAGTTGGAAGACAAACCAACCCAAACCTGTTGCTCAGCTTTGTCAATCCTTCCTCAATATCCTCCTGAATCTCAGAACACAAACTTCAAAGTTGTGAATTAATGGTCTAGAGGAAAAACTTGCTGTGATGAAAAAGTATATGTACATGTTCTTTCGAAAAGCATAGCTGTATTCTCTAACATTGAGTTGTATATGGGTAATTCCAGAAATTAGGGGTCCAAAAATGTGACCTTTGTTATTTGACATGGAAATATCACCAGAATTGATTTCAAACTATTACCATTTGTTTGGCAGGTATAATTTGCATTAATTCGTCACTCTTGGAAATTAGAAAATGTGTTCTGAACAGTAACAGGGACACCAAAAAAAATGGACCCCTAATTTCTGGAATTATCCATGTACGTTCAGGCCTACTACACAGGCTCATGTGTGTTGATAAACTGTTTTCCACTCCAGAAACTTTATACTAGTTTTTGTCCTGACACCAACATACATTCACAGTATCCACATGTCTGCACTCTTATATAAGCAGGAAGTAGTGGGTTCACCCGAGCAAGCTTGTAAGTTTCTCGCAACTCTCAGACCACAGTGAGAATAGTGTTCATTTATGTCAATGCAAGGTCAAAAACAGCATAACATCTACATCCGCGACGCATAGCCAAATGAATATAATTAACCCAGAAACTTGTTCGCATAAGACACTGTTACTTAGCTTGTCTTTCGTGAAGACATAAGTCTGATACTGCTATAAAAAACCATGAGAGGGCGCCCTACCTGTATTTCGGTGGCACTTTGTCGATAATGTTGCATGTCGTTTGCATTCCATTGTAATTATTTGATATATAAATACATGTAGCAAAGTCAACAAGGGACGAAACAAAAAATTGGTGTTTTTTGCCACAGCAAAATTTCAATTGGGGCCACAAACTTAATTTATCCCCCTTAATCTTGGTGATCTTGATGTGAAACTTGGGGGAGGAGGGCAGCTGGAGGCCTTTCCAGAGCACAGACTTGGAGGGACACAAACTGAAAGCTTTACTTCTTAAAATCTATGACCAAGACGCTTGGTGCCACCTCAAGAAAAAGCAGGACATCCCCAATGCTCTCCCTTCCAAATCATGATCTCAGCCTGGCACTAGCCAAGGTTCAGCGTCATGTGAGAACGACTAATGATTGGTCATCAAGTACGACTTTGTTTCAGAGACAGCGACAGCTACATAAGTAAGGATATTCTGAGACACAAGCTAAGCAGATGTTGCCAGGCTGAGAGCCGATGGCCAGTGTGTAGCCATTTTACCAATCCCAGCTTTCTTCCCGGCCGGGGCTTCGTCTCAGGCTCCAGAACATTCACTGGTGGAAGGAAGTGATGGTTTCCCGCACTACAGCCTCATTTTGGATGGGTTGTTGGTTTCATGGAGTTTGAGAATCTCATCTTAGCAACAGAAGTGAAACGGGAGCCTGAGGCCAAAGTTGTTAAGGATGCAATGGCTTCACAAAATCCAAAACCTTGACAAGGGCTACACGCAGGTTGCCTGAAGCCATTGATAGCTACGTCCTCTGACTGGTCACATTCTGTCGTACTCTTTTTCCTGTTGATGCTGTTTCTGCCAATGATGATGATGTTGAGCTCTTGATGTGCTTGTTCTTGGGCACGTCTTCATCACTGACAGACAGAAGCTCTCGCATCAGTTTGAAACGGGACAGGAAAGCCACCCAGACAATGTACCATCCTGAAAAAAAGGTACAGGTCAACAGAGGGCGCCACAATGTTGTAGTGGTTTCCAGAACATCAAGTCTTGTTTTACAATTTACAAAGGTTCTGTTATGTAATTCTAAAATACACACATACAGTACTCTGCCTGAACAAGGTAGATGTGTGGTGTGCAACTACTGCTTTGTGCATGCAGAGGGCACACAACCAGTTCAATCAAAATTTCAACTGAATGCGCACAATGATTTGTACATGTACCTGAATTGGACTCACACGAGCATATTGGACTCAAATGAGTATAATGCATCAGCAGCTTTTCCTTGTCTAAAGCCTCAGTCGTAAAGTCTTTTTTTTTTCCAGTGTCAAGAAAATTCAAGATGATCAGTTTGAACTAAGATTACTTGATAATATCACTATGACTCCTTTACAATAATCAGAGTGGGGGTAACATACATGTACATGTATTGACTTTTTCTGCGATCTGTTAGTCATGTTTATAAGCTTCTAAAAGGTACGTGTACACCCACTGGGAAAGCTTGTAGTCTAGATGGTATTTATGGATGTTTTTTAACTGTGGCAGCTAGTGCAATTCCTGAACCGTAAATACATCTTTTCTGCTTTAATAAGTTTACGACATGGTTGTGTTTAAGGTGAATGGGGTAAAACTGGGTAAAAATTACAACTATTCACAAAGGTGGACCAGCCAATGATCCTAATTAGTAGATACCGGTTTCTGTATTTCTTCTGTGATGAAGATTTTGAATGCATAGTTCATGATTAGCTTCACAGGTATTTTTGTGCTAATAATCTGCTTACATGTACAAAGATTCAGTTGGGCTTCAGACGACATCACTCAAAACATACAGCATTAATTGATGCCTCTGATTTTTCTGTATGAACGAGTAGATGCTAGCCAATTTGTTGGAGCAGTCTTCCTTGATTTATGGAAAGCTTTTGATACTGTTAATCATGCAATTTTGTTGCAGAAATTAGAGAAATATGGTGAACGTGGTCTGGAACTTGAGTGGTTCCGATCTTATCGGACAGAAGGCAATGTACAAGAGTTGGTTGTGTCTTATCTGAAGTTTCAGAGCCAGTTCAATTTGGAGTAGCCCAGTCAGGGGACAATCTTGGGACCTTTACTTTTTCAATTTTTATCAATAATCTTCCATCAGTTATTAAATACTTGAAATGTGTGATGTGTAGTATCTTAACCTATGTCATATTACCGTTAGTCACTTTAGGCGTTCTTTTTAATTTTTACCTGCTGTACATGCTGAGACCCTTGGGAGATCAGTTTTGCACTAAATGGGTAACCCAGGCTAAATACATGTAAGGTAATAATAATAATCCGTCCACCAATCATGCTCAACGTCCCCTAGCCAAGGGAGATACTTGGTGAAAGCTCCCCTTGTTCACACAGGTACATAAGGTGCATAAGAAAACAATCACAATTGCCACAGACATTAACAAATAAACAGTTCCATACATGTACAGTCAAACCTCGTTAATATTCATGAGCACTGTTAATACAAGATTCTGCTTTTAACAAGGACATTTTTAGGTCCCAATCTTTTGTTTTTCATTGTTTTCATACAGGTCAGGAGGTCCTCTTTTTAACAAGGTTTGACTGTATCTGGCTACTGCCTACCAGTACCTGTACCTATGTAAGACTCGTCATGCTTGTGCACAAAATCTATCAGCCATAACAGAGAAAAGTCTCAGTAGGCCTACATGTATTGTCAAAGGAAACTCACAACTATGTTTCTTAATCTGATTTTCACTTTGATAGGTTGGATATGAAACTCTGTCTGTTCAATGCCTACTTTGAGAACTTCCGACATCCTGACCTCCATGGGCATGATGGGAGTAGGGACTTCTCAAAGTATTTCCTGCCGGTCATGCCTACATGTATGTAACATAACAACAGATGTGAACTTAGCAGACTGTTCTTACCAGCAACTATAAAGATGAGGACTACTGAAAGTGACGTCAAAACAGAAACGATCACCAAGAAGACGTCTTTCATTCCTAACTCGGTCATTGTTCAACATGCTCAATTCCAATCAATACAAGTACAACTGAAAAATGACTGAAGCCAATGTGAACATCACATTGCATTCATTCCGTCTGTTCGGCCAGAACTGAAGTTTGGATGTAAAATTTGCCCTCAAAAGTGTGGTCTTCTTTCGTAACACACTGAGTCCGCAACAAACAAAATGTTCCTGTGTTCACCAGAACAAAGACATGAAAGAAAACGACCATATAAGGTGCAATGAACATGACGATTTATGCTCGAAGATACTTCTTTGTCGTTTGATCAGCTGTTTATTAGTTTCGTTATTTACAGAGCGACTGTTATCAATTGAGGGCGCTATGACTTGCGTACTCAATTGGCGGTGTCACACGGGTGCTTTAAAATTAAAGTTTAAAACTATTTCTTTTGGCGCAATGTTTGTGTTTAGTGGATAAGAGATGCAGTCAAAATTTAGTGACTTTACTGCGTCCCTCCTCCTCGTCACTGCTTTGATCTGTTCTATGGAGGCAAAAGTAAGTATGCGAATGAGAAAGAATGTAAAATTTCAAAGAAATTATGGTTCTTGAAATGAGTATAGTCTGCCTCACATTTTCAAAAGAGATGCTGCATTTCAGAAAGGCCCTTATCATAGCCACATCCCCACAAGAAAAATGTATTTATAGCTAGGAAATCAATCATCCTGAAAAAATATCTCAAGAAACTAATTAAGAAAAAGATGCCTATATACGTAAAACATTCTTCAAAATCCCAGTTCCCTTTTTTTTTAGCAGATCGGGTCACTTGGGAAGAAAAGCTGCCTGAAACTCTTGCGTCAAATATCTTTCCCATGAAACTAACTTTCTAAGTCTCAGAGCAGAAAGCCGAATGCATTCCTAGTTTGATCATGAGTGTATGAACTCTACTGTGCATACAACAGACTACACGGCATATGAGTTGGTTGGCGTACGAGTCAGTCGGCTTACCAGTTGGTCCGTGTATGAGTTGGTGCGTACGTGTTGACTAGCATTGATCCTCACACCCACCTTCCATCCCAGCCTTTCTGTATTGATTCCATTCTACGGTATGCATGTTACTTTTCCAGATGATCAAAGAAGCACTGGTGCACATGCATGGAGAGGATGCTCTGGCATGTCAGGGGATGGGACCCACAGACATTAATAAATAGGTTTATATGTCTCTGATGGGACCGGAGGTGATCACATGACCAGGCCATTTCGTGCCTTAAGTATGATTGAGGAGGGCATTGGAGGATACGTCCTATAAGAATATGAAGGCAGAAGTGAGTATATTCACTTCAGGAATCATAATTTCTTCCAAGTTTTACATATCTTTCAATTGAGTCACCATTCTAAATGTAGGAGAGACTCACTTGATACAGTACAGATCTCCCCCACACACCAATTACATCACATGACAGCCTGCTGGCCCATAGTATGGGCAGGCCTTTTTGACCCTAGAGGGGGCAAGTGTTTCCCGACTACAGATCTTTATAACATTGAAAGCTAACAGTGGATTCATGCTATTGTTTTTAGTTTTCCCATTACACTCTCTCTCAATTAGTAAATTTGGATTTTAAGGAGAAGTGGTGAATTTCACAGCAGTTTTTGCCAAAATTGTTCCCTGAAAGATTTCCCCTGAATTCAGTAATTTGACTTTGTCGGGCACGGATGAGGTTGTGAGTTCTGTGCCATTTATGAGGGGGTCTCAAAGATTAGAAGATCCCTCAAAAGCATAAATCATACGTCTTATTTTGCATGTACAGTTAAAACAAAAGGATTAAATGACTCTGTTCCCGGTGACAACTATACGTCGTAACCCCTCCCCTTGCAGGAACAAGCGTTTCCAGAACCCCCTCTACCTTCAAACATTATGATCATGGAACCTTTTTTGTAGTACATGTATCAGTGGATCCAATCTCCGTTTCCTTCATTATTCATAATCTCATTTCTCCTCATCTTTTACGAACTTGACATAAATTCAAAATTTTACCAGGAATATATCTGCGAAATAAGGTAACCAGTGGTTCTTCAACTGACCGCTGAAGTTTATTGGACTGCTCAATGAAAGTAAATGTGAATTAAAAGGCTACACACAAACAAAAAACAAGCTTACAGATTGGAACTCAGCCAAGCCATGGAAAAAAACAACAATTTGAAACACTCAACGATAAAAAAAAGAAATAAATGCATTGTGGAGTGAAAACTATACACTAGCTTTGCGCAAGATATCATGTATTTTCGATTCCTTTTCCCCTGTGATATCCCACCAATGACAATTTCAGAATTTCAAAGAATTTACGGAAACTTTCCTCCCATATTGTCCTGTCCCTTCACGCAATGTGGCATTTCTTTAAAAAGTCAAATCAAATATTTGAATTTCTTTAGGGAGCGAGCGCATGATCTACTTAAAGTCTGGTACGTATCAAGGAGGACTAGGAAAAGTCGTCTTCCTGAATGCACATAATACGAGCTAACGGTGCTATTTTGGTCAAAATAAAAAATATAATCATTTTACCTAAATGCTGATAAAATCTTTAGGTTGGCAGTATTGAACAAATGAGTTTTTAAAACTGATTACAAAAATTATACTAATTAAGAAATCTGTAGATGTAATGCTTTCCAGTTTAATACACTTCTTAGGATTAAACAAGCCTTTATAAATTCCAACAAGAGTGTGATATGTGTCAATTAAATTACTTTACCCATGGGACATAATTCAAATACACTGTGCAATCACTTTTATGATGGTATACACGTCTATACATGTGCATCACTATTGGCAAAAATTAAATTCGATTTCTGAAAATCGAAACAAACATCGTAGCAATCACTTAAGTTTAACGCCAATGTTATAACAAAAGCATGGGTTAGAAAATCCCATACATGTACATGTAGCTCAAACTCTTGTGAATAAGCTTTCTTCGTTTCACTGACGATGCAAAGATTTAATGAAAAATTGCTGAGAAGTTAGTTCTTTCTTGTGCCCCGTACAAAAGAAGAAGATTCTGAATTTTTTAAATCTAGAGATCGACAAATCATTTCAGAAGCCTGACAACTATGCATAGTGACATGCACACATGTCCGTATCAATTGTGTCAACTTTAAAGATTAGCATCTGCAAATTAAAGATAAACAATCAAATCAATTGCAAGCTGTTACTTTTCATGGATCCATGTAAGCATGCAAACACAAAGTTCTCTTAAGTCCCACTTCGGGATTCAATTTGCCTTCTTTACGTTCCCCGCAATTAACACTGATGCAAAAATCAAGATTCTATTTTTCAGTAGAATGATTAACCAAAAGTAAACTGTACAAGAGAAAATAAAATTCACAAGATCTGATCTTAAGGCCGGCAACTTTCTATTTTCCTGTTTATAACAGAAATAACAGATAAAACATTTAAGAAAACGTAACCGTGAGACTATCCCTGATTCATTAAATCAATGCAAGCATCATGCATACAAAGTTCTTATCTTATTAAATGCTCCTTTTCTTTATCAAGATCTTTTTCTCCACTAAGAAATTGGATTCAAATCTTTCTAGATATGTTCTGTTACTAAAACACAGCTAAACTACTTTTGCAAATTAAAGTCATTGTTACCCTTGACGAAGTCTTACATAGATATGTACGTTTAATACATAACTTTTTAGAAAAGTAAAACTAGTACAAACTTTCATAGATAGTAATAGCCTAATACCGTATATTCCATTAAAAAATAACACAGACTTGGCTGATGCATAAAATTGAGGTTATAGCTTGCTACAAATGGGAATAGCCACAAAGTTTGGTTGAATAAACATGACAAAAAGCAAATTAGCAAATGTTGCCTGATGGTTTGGGCGTTATTATTGTCAAGTATAAAAAGACCCCATTTGTATATCAGCAGAGCTGCAACCAAGCGTGCAAACAGTGAAACATGTGAGCAGTTAGTTTGGTTGTTTACCTTTTCCTGTCTTCTAAACTTGCTTTGTGTACGGAATCCTATAATGTCGTTTTTCAGCTCATTCAAAAATAAGTACAAAGCATAAAATGAATAAACTTGTAAAAGTTGCTTCGCATGTAAAAATTATTTTACAGGAAAACCTAAGGTCCTTTTCATCGATTGAATTGTATAATTCTCTAAAGCATTGATGAAACAAAATGAATTAGTTTACTCTCATGTTTGATGTGTTTGAACAACTTCAGTTCGTAATTGATATTGATGAAACAAAATGAATTAGTTTACTCTCATGTTTGATGTGTTTGAACAACTTCAGTTCGTAATTGATATTGTGAAACAAATTGATTTTCGTTATTGCTACTACCCAAAAGTGGAACTATATACATATTTAATTTGGACGTCATACATCTATACACCTGCATGTAGCAAGAATCCAACTGTGTCAAACAAGTAGAGACAGGTTGAACACATAAAGTTTCTTAAAAAGGGAAAAATCTGTAGCTAGACATTACAAAATACCAAGGTTCTCCAGATTTTGAAAATGGCCCCAATCAACAACTGGCGGTGGGGATCACCTTGTTGGTCGGCAGCCCCTTCAAAACTGTCATAAGGTTACTTCCAACCTGAACGAAGGAAGAGAAAACCTTTTGTAATTTACTTTTGTAATTTTTGTGTGGTGGTTGAAGGTTCGCAATCCCACGTGCGACCGCAGGAATTCAAAAGCTGCTGAAAGGATACCACTACGTCATTTCGGCAAATCCAGTAATACCACACACCAGAGCAGCGCAAACGATTCATTTTTTGTTTCGGCAAATCCAGTAATACCACACACCAGAGCAGCGCAAACGATTCATTTTTTGTTTCGGCAAATCCAGTAATACCACACACCAGAGCAGCGCAAACGATTCATTTTTTGTTATTGAAAGTTACTGCCCACCGCAATGCAGCCCACCACTTATATATAACCACCGGTAGCCAGTATTTCGCATATGCAAAAAAAATCCACATTTGCACACTTAACGATATTTCCTTTTGGAAAAATGAATTATGTGAGCACTACTTTTTTGACGTTCAGATAAATTTACGTCTTACACATGCAGTAAGTTTATTTTAACGGGACTCAAAGAGCATTTTGCATGTGCGAAATCACACTCGTACAATTGTAAATAATAAAAATGCAGAATGGTTCTAAATGTTATACGCAAGATTAAGAGTCGAAAGAGAAGTTGAAAAAGCTAACTATCTGTGTGAGGATTATTTTTTTTCAAATGTCTCAATTTCAGGCTTCAACCTTAAGCTTTAGAGGGTCAAGGGTACTTTGAAAGTTTTACTTATCAGGCTTTTTGGTGACTTTAACAGACTTTCCGTCAATTTCAATATGGTGCTTAAATTTCAAGCCGCAATTTTCATTGTTTCTGTTCACATGCTCAGCAGTCTGCTTGAACTGTAAAAATAAATAACACTGTACTAACTTTAATTTACCATTTGGTGTTATGTCTCATTACTTTTCATGATGCCATAAAGGCAACACTAGATTTCGAAAATCAGTGTAATTACTCACAAACAATGCAATTCAAGCATTGCGTTGAGTCAACGTTCACTTCCGTTCACCAGAGTGCGTTGGTGAAAACAATCTCATATTGAACAAAATTCTACTCTTGTCGTTGAATGAGAACGTAATAGTTCAGCAGGGCTGGTTACCTTTCCCTCTAGTCTTGCAGTTCTCTCAGGTCGAAGTTGGCCACGTCAGCGCCATCCGACCGTGCTGCAAGTCCAGCTTCGTCCATCTCGCTTGCCGGTTTATGATTGCTCCGAAGGTGGTGACTCGCGCCCCCTATTTTCGTTTTGCACTCAGGTAGCAATGACCGTTTGGGCATTTAAACCAGTGTCCGTGCGTTAGCCCAACAGCTTTTACAATCATCACCCTTTCAGTCTCTTGCATCCCAAGAGTCGTTCCTGCACACTGACGTTTGAGTCGTTTCAGCAGCATCTTCGCTCTCTGCACAGCCTCTCCTCTGAATGGTTTTCCGCTAAGAACCAAGTCTTCCACTTCAAGTCTGTCTTACTTCGGAGCTTGCTTTTGATGTGATACAGCTCTGTGCACATATCGAGGCGCTGTAATTCCGAACTGGCGTCGTCAAGTTCTTGGTGGCTTAAATACTCTCGAGGCATATCAACAACCACTGCTTTAGCTCCGAGAAATCACTTCCAACTTGTTTCATCTGTTTCTGGAATTCAGGGATGGCACTTCTCAGCCTTTCTGATAGCTACTAACAGATTCACTTTGTTCTCTAGCATAAGTAGGTCTGTCAGGCTAACTCGCGGAGACTGCAGGTGTTTTTTTGACAGAATCCACATCTTTGAGCACGGAAAGCTTTCGAGTTATCTGTTCTTTTTTGTCCTCGATTTGTTTTTTTTTCTCTCCAAAGATACGCGCCTTGACTTTTTCGATGTCCCTGAGAGTTACCTTGATTGAGTTCCCGTAGCGGAGATTGCATCGGATGGGTGTCCTACATCTTGGACACAGCTTCAGCTGAATGGACGTCTACATCTTGGCCACAGCTTCAGCTGAATGGACGTCTGATCTTTCTTTGTAACTTGCATCCACTGGTCAAGACCGTCAACTTCAAACACGTGACTACAATTCTCAAGCTGAACAAATCGAGCATCTGGCTTGTCTTCAGGTCCAAAAAATATCTCTGTCACCTCATCTCTGTGACACACACGACATTTGTCAGGACATGGTTCTCCGCACAAACCGATACATGGATGGCCACACCTAAGCCTAGCAGGACAAGGTCTGTCACACGGCGGCCGGTCACATGCCTCACTGCATGTCTTCCTGCACCTATAATGAGGACAGCGCCACAGGCATGGCTCCTGACAGGGTGTACATGGATCTCGACATCGGTTAGGACACTTGCTGTGCACAAATCGATTCTGACACTTCTGAGCGCAGGGAGGACATTCCCTTGTACACAACGCAGTGCACTGATGACCACAAACTAGTGTC